CATACACATGTAACTGACTTGGTACTCTTAATATCTCAATAGGTGCAACACCTCTTACTGTTATAGCAGGAGAAGTAACAGCCACAAGAGTATAATTTTCTACGCTCTCCCCGGGCACTATAAACTTGGTTGGATCATCATCACCCTCATCTACTCCAATCATATTCACCGAGGTACCATTATGGTTCGGGAGTGGGTTGTTATTCATATTTGGTGTCGGTTGCTTGACTGTGATTTGTTTCATCGCAGTGAGATTTTCAACCTTGTGATTCAATGCATAACAACGATCTATGGAATGTCCTTTAACCCCCCGAATGGTATGCACATGTTTTAGAGGGATCAAAATTTCTTGGCAATTGATCTGGAATTCTACCTTTCACGGGATACAATAAGCATAATGCCTGCAACCTTTCAAACACAACACTCAGTGGCTTCCCCGATGGTGTAAAATTGCGGGAAGGTCTATTTGGACGTGGTGCGGATGGATTATTTTGATGATAGAATTGTGGTGATGGGGCTTGATAGGCCGGTGGTCGTGGAGCTCGATATATTAGTTGTATGTGGTAGACAGGATATGAAAATTATGATCGATAAGGCTGGTACGATGATGGAGATTGATAGTATGGATGTGAGGGAAATTGTAGGTATTATGAATGGGGAGTACGATGTTGATGTTGTGAAGGTTGTTGATGGTGATATGAAGTACCTCCTGAGCCATTACCGTAGTGACTTTTTTCTCTTTTTTTCTTTCCACTTTCAAGAGCACCAGTTTGGAGGGCCTTACTGGTAGACTGTAATGCTGCTAGACTTGTAATTCTTCCACTTTTGATGCCATCTTCAATCATGTCTCCGGCTTTGATCACTTCAACAAAAGATTTTTCACCCATTGTGAGCATTCATTCATAATATTCTGATTCTTGTGCCTGAATGAAAAAAGTGATCATTTTTGCTTTCTCCATGGGTGGGTGTACCCTAGATGCTTCTTGCCTCCACCGTATAGCATATTCTCAAAATGATTAAGTTGATTTCTTCTTCAATTTTGTGATTGAAATTATGTCAGGAGCAATCTCAACATGAAACTTATAGTGATTCACAAAAGAATTTGCCAAATCATCCCAAGTATGCCATTTTGAATTTTGTTTTTTAAGTTTTATTCATTATTTGTTCCATACTTAGTCATTTCACCTACAAAGTAAAAAATTGCTTATAAGCTCAAAATGATATAATTGAGTGAACTCAAGGAATATTAAGTTAGAAATTACTCAAAACAATGTTTAAATATAAGGGATGCATGACTAAAGAGAGTGTAAATTCACCCCACATCATTTGTCACATCAAAGAAAATATAAAAATAAATAAATTATGATACCCATTCTCAGATTGATTTAAATGTATTATTTGGGTATTCTCACACACAATAAACAAAGATCATGAATTTAAATTGTCAAATAAATAAGGGAAAAAAGATTCAAAATATATCTGAACTTTGATCATAATTGTTATAACAATCCCAAACTTTGGACATGACCTTTTACCCCCTTGCACTATTTAATAGTGTATTTTAAAGATATCCAAGTGTCCACATAGACATCATAAATATTGCATCATTATAAATAGTAACTTGTCCACGTGGGCACATATATATCTTTAAAATACACTATTAAATAGTACATGGGGGTAATAGGTTCTACCCAAAGTTTGGAATTGTTACAGCAATTTCGGTCAAAGTTCGAATATATTTTAGACCTTTTTCTCATAAATAAGAGACATTCATGTCATGCGAACTAAAACATACAAAAAATACACGGGTCCTCTTTAATTAAAATGGTCTTAACATAAAAGGACTAAGATCGAATGTCTTCACTCGGCCACAAAGGTTATCAAATACTTTGTTTCTGAACCTGAAAATATTTAAGCTTTAGATTGAAAAGGCTAAGACATAATATTCTTATTCTTGGTCACAAAGATTGTTGGATATTTTATTTTCGGACCTTGAATTGTTTGAAGCCTTAAATACAAAGCTAAGTTCAAATATTTTTTCTCTATCATGAAGGTCATCAGATATTTCATTTCAGTACCCCGAATAATTTAAAGCTTTATAATAAAAGGTTGAGATCAAATGGATTTATTCGGTCACAAAAGTTAACGGTTATTTCATTCTTGGATCTTAAATTATTAAAAGCCTTCAAATAAATAGCTAAGATAGAATACCTTTACTCAATCACGAAGGTAACGAAAGACTCATTCCCCGATGTTGGTTGCTCAAAACTTTAATGCTAAAAAGCTTGAGATCAAGTATTTTCACCTGATTAAAAAAATAATGAATTTTGATTACTTAGCAAAAGGCTAAAGTTGCTTTCATTTTCATTAGAAGTAGATGTTGGTTGACAGATATATGATCGGACCTAAGTTGCTTGAAAACAACAAACTTTAAGGTTCATTTCAAAAAGAGTAAGATACAAATACACTATGGTATTTGATTAATTAAATAAATTAAAACAAAAATGCTTGAAATTAATGAAATCGAGCAAGAGAGAAAAATAAAATTTCATTAACAAATACTCCAGATTTACTTAAAGTCTTTGGCAAGAGCTTCTTAAAAGACAACAAATGGGTAAATCAAGTTGGAGCAGATGTCACTGTCGTTTTCAAAATAAAAATAAAAGAATAAATAAACATTAAGGGGTTTTCCTCTCACACTTGAGCAACCAACAAATGGGGAACTACTTGTATGAGGTAAATCCAATCTTATCTAGATAAATGAATAATATAGAGACACTTGGAATGATATCCATTTCTTAAGAAAAATCAAGAAATATTGAACGGATTGATATGATGACTAAATCTATAAGTAAAGTTAGGGATGACAATGAGGCGGGGCGAATGCGGAATGGGGTGGATTTAAGGCTATGCAGGGCAGTGCAGGTTATGCAGGGCGGGGGATGTGGAGCGGGTTGGAGTGGGTTTTTTTGAAACTGATGCAGGATGGGGTGGGTCGGGTTGCGGATCTATGCGATTTTATGCGGGTTCACACTGAATTTTAACTTTTTACATGTTACAATAGTGATATAATATTATCTATTAAGATAGTTTCTTTAAAGTTACTAAAATATCCAAGATAGTAATGAAAATGGTTCAATCAAAACTAATACAATTTCTTACATGTTTCCCAATTGACCTCTAAAAAATAAATTTTAACTCATTATCTATTATATTAATATAACTTGATGTAAAAATAAATTTATTTTTATGAATTGTATTTTCAGTATCAAACTTACCTAGAAAAGGAAAATATTAAACAATTTATGTGGGGTAGTGCGGGTTGAAAATGAAAGAAGTGACATGCAGGGCGACTTAAAATATTTGCGGGTTAAGCTCAACCCGTCCCGCCTCCACCCCACACTGCCCCATGGCCATCCCTAAGTAAAGTTCAACTCAAAAGGATATGATATTGTAATCACCGGAATCCATGCTTCACAAATATAATTCATCTAGTTTTAGAAGAGTAGGATCCAAACACAAAAAACCAACGATAAACTTGTAAACCTAAAAATCACGGGAGAGACATAGATTTTCGCAATCAATACAAAGTCGAAGAGTTGGTGCTCAAATGAAAGACTATGAAAGATCTGAAACCTACGTATTCAATTACCTATTTTGTTTTCTATAAATAACTTATCAGCCTCTAATGTTTGGAGCACAAATTTTTGGTTCACATACTTGTTTAGCATACTTTTTCTACTCAATCAAAATCTCATAATTGTTAGAAGAAAATTAACAGAGAAATTTAAAGCTTTGAGGCTGCGAAAGATCACTATCTTTCAAGAGTTATTGCCTGCATATTCTTTTAGGGATGACAAACAATTCTCTATCAGGACACAACAAAGCCAAAAACACATATGCAATTTTAATTCGCTACTTCTGGGAATACTTCATATAATCGTATTTATAGAACTTAAGATATGAATTTTCATAATAGTCATGTTCTTTCATTGACATAGATGACTTTTAATAATAGTCATGTTCTTTCATGAATAGAGATGAATTTTCATAATAGTCATGTTCTTTCATGAATAGAGATGACTTTTCATAACAATCATGTTCTTTCATGAACAAATGACTTTCATGCGATAGACATTCATTTTCTAAACAATCACAACCTTTAGTTGCTCCCTTTTTGAAAAGACAAAACTTTTGTTTCTCCCTATCTAAACATACAAAAGTTTTTGTTTCATTTAAAATTTAAATATTAATTATTGAATTCAAATTTTAAATAAACAATTTGTTCACAATAAATTACGAAAAAATAAATCTTTAAATTTAATTATACATCCAACCCGGGTCGCGGCCCAAGTCCAAGTCTTATATATATATATATATATATACACACACACACACTTACTCTATTGAATAGATTAAATGGGCTAGGCCTTAAAAAGACCTAAAAGATGACTTCTCCCACCTATGTGAAAACTATTCCTTTATATTACAACTATCCTAACAATAATTTCACAATTCCTAAATCATTTCGGACATGTTGTACTTAAGAATCTAAGACCCACTTCTCAAAATTTAATATGTGGCCTGATCAATTCTTATTTTCTATTTATTATAGTTTATTATTGTTGTGATTTCTTTTGTTATCATTTTATTTTTCAATACTAATGTAACTCATGTGTTCTGAAATCACCTTGATAAATTCAAGTGTCTCATTTTTTGAGTAATCATATACATTGTATGTTATACTATCATTCTTTATTTATTTATTTTTTAATTTTTTTTTTTTAACATTCTGCATTTTATTCATCTTAACTCAAAAGTACAATGATCTGAGGGAGATACAAAAAGTAGCTTACTTCTCCTTAATTTGAAAGGATTTAAACTCCTATTTGAGATGAAGAAAATGCAAAAGATGATTGAAACCTTGGTCATAACCAAATGACACCAAGTTTTCAAATCTAACAATCTGTCAAAAGGTAGATTCTAAACGAAACTCCGCCTCAAGGCGGGTCCCAGATGATCTCTATCTTCTTTTTTCGGATAGTTCTGAAGTTAGCCATATTCCATCTATCCATAGTCATAAGGCCCTTAATTCTTCTAGGAAGTTTAGCAAAAGTTGTAAACATAGTGCTCTGTTGATTAGTATGGCATAGCGATGCCAGTTTGTCAGCAACCTTGTTGGCCTCTCTGTAACAGTGTCGCAAAATATAACTTGTATTCTCCATGTGGGCTTTTAGTTCCTCCATTTCTCTCTGTATCTTCCATGGGGTAGAGTTCTGATCGTTGACACAATTTACTAGTAATTTTGAGTCACTTTTTGCCAAGATAAACTCATATTCATTGTTGATACACCACCTTATGCCATATAACAGCGCCATAGCTTCAACCCAATTACTAGTGCCTTCTCTAAGATTTAGTGAGTAAGCAAAAAAAAGATACCCCTCGCAATCCCTAATCACCCCTCCACCTCCACAAAGATCATTTTTGCAGCTACCATCTGAGTTTAGTTTCACAAAACTAGTCGATGGTTTACTCCATTTAACCATAGCTCTTCTCCTACTGTTAATATTACTCATCTTCAGATGGACAATAGACTCCCAATTAGGAATTAGTTTCACATTCACAAATTGGATGGACACCAGCTGAGTTATAGTAACAACAATCTGACTTATACATTTCCTGACACTATATTGTTCTTTTCCATACTTCTCCCCACATCTTGTTTTCCATAATTCCTATGTAGCCACAATAGGGAGATATTTCACAATTAAGGCTAGGACCGGATTTCTAGTTTTCGAGGTCCACCAGTTCCTAAGCAGAAGTCTCAAGGGAATGTTTAAAAACGAGATACCAAATAGACCACACAGGATTGACCATATCTCTTTCGCAAACTCTCCAGAGCACAGTAGATGATCAATATCTTCTTCTTGGGGATTCTTGCAACAACAACACCTTGAGGGGGCATGGATGCCCATCCTCATCAGATTTGAATCAGTAGGTATTTTATCCCTCAAGGCTCTCCAAAGGATGAAGTTCATTTTAAAAGGGACTTTGTAGTTCCAATTCATGGCATTGATCCAACTCTTATCCCTTTTTTGTCTCATGATGTTCCATGTTGAGGAGATAGTGAAATTGTTTTTTTCATCAGAAGTCCATATAGCTTTGTCTTTCACATTCGGATTGAGATTGATTTGCATAGAGTTTATGTGGTTCATTATATGGTCCGTCAAATAAAGATCCCAACCACCCCATTGCCAATGGCCATTCAATAATATTTCAGAAAGATTGTCATTTCTGGGGATTCTAGCTCCAATACCTGACCAGTTATCATACCACATGGATACCTCTCCTCTTCCTATCTTCCACAGGATGTGTTTGTCCATAGTCACTTTTACTTTGCACATTGCATTCCAAGAATGAGAGTTCCCTGAGTACCATTTTTTTTAACAGGGTGAATTCTTTGACAATATTTAGCTAGGATGAAGTCACCCCACAGAGATTCCCTAGCCCTCAAGTTCCACCATTGTTTCACAGTAAATGCAGCACAAATATCATGAATTCTCCTAAACGCTACTCCTCCTTCTTCATATGGGTAGCACATTTTCTCCCAAGAAGCCCAGTGGTGTTTCTTAACTTCATCTGTACCTCCTCAGAAAAATTTGTTAAGCATTCTTTCAATCTGGTTCATAACTCCTATTGGGGGTTGCATAGCAGCAAAAAGATGGATTGGCATAGATAGTAGGACATGTTTAATAAGTATTGCCCTCCCTCCTACTGATAGAATTTTAGTATGCCAACCCCCAATTTTGTTCAAAATTTTGCCCATCAGATCTGAAAAGAGAGTTGTAGTTTTCCTTCCAACATAGAGAGGGCACTCTAGGTACTTGATTGGAAAGCTCTTGTGAACAATTCCTGTAATCTCTTCTATCATTGTTATTGCTTGATAATGTTCTTTGGGAGAGATAGACACACTTGATTTCTGTTTGTTCACCATCTGTCCTAATACTTTTTCATATGTACTCAGAGCCCCCATCATCAATTCTAAGGATTTCCTGCAACCACTGGAAAACAAAATAATGTCATCAGTAAAGGCTAGGTGATTAATAGAGGGGCATCTTCTATTCATGCTAAATCCAAGGAATTCAACATTGTTGTTCAAGGCATTGAGTTTTTGAGACAGAAATTCAGCACTTGTTACAAAAAGGGAAGGAAAAATAAGGTCTCCTTGTCTAAGGCCTCTTTCTGATTTAAAAAAGTCATGTTTATTTCCATTAACTAGCAAGGAGTACCAGTTACTAGAAATATGTCTATATATCATATCAATCCAGGTTTCACAAAATCCCATCCTTCTCATGAGAATGCATAAATAAGGCCAAGATACCCTATCATATGCCTTAGCCATATCAAGCTTAAGAACAACATCACCATTAAATTCAGCTTAACAATATCTTGGATAATTTCTTGAGCTAGAAGAACATTCTCAGTAATGGATCTACCTTTTATGAAACCACTTTGATTGTTACTAATTAGAGAAGGAAGGATCTTGCTCAACCTAGAGTTTAGAACTTTTGAATTTTTTTTGCTAATTACATTACATAAGCTTATAGGTCTCATATCAGAGAAACTTTGAGGAGAATTGACTTTAGGGATCATAGCTATACAAGTATGAGTTAACTATTTCGGCAAGTTAGCCCCACAGAAGAAGGCATAAAAAGCATTAGTAATATCGTAAGCAACCAGATCCCAACAAGATTGAAAGAACTTAGCTGTGAATCCATCAGGCCCAGGGGCACTATCAGGATCCATTGACATTAGATTACTCTTAATCTCTTCTTCACTCGGGATTTCAATCAGGGAAGCATTGTTTTCCTCAGTGATCATGATGTTGATTGCTTCTAGGTCTGAGTAATTATTAAACTCGGGAGTTTAACTGAAAATTCCTTTGAAGTATCTCACTCCTGCCTCAGCCACTTTATCGCTTCCTTCTACCCATTGTTGATTTTCATCCATGATTTTGTTGATGCTGAGCCTTCTTCTTCTATCCTTAATGACTCTGTGGAAGTAAGCAGTGTTAGCATCTCCATCTTTTAGCCATCTCACTCTAGCCTTCTGTCTTAGAATAGCTTCTTGAATTTTAAGTGATGGACATATTCAGCCTTCGCCTTGTTAAGGTTGGTTCTGTTAGCATGAGTGTTATCTTCTTGGAGGGATTGTTCCAGCATGGCGATGTTTGTTTCCATAGTCTTTGTCACACTATGGATGTCGCCATAGGTATTTTTAGACCAACTGCTCAGGTGAGAAGCCGTTCTTTTCAGTTTTTGGTGCAGCACCCATAATGGATTTCCTTGATGATTTTCATCCCAAACATTCTTAACAGTCTCCCGAAATTGAGGATGCTCAGTCCAAATATTTAGAAACTTAAAGTATTTGATGAATTCCTCTTCTCTATTACTGAACTGCACAATTAAAGGAGAGTGATCAGAGCAAGTAATAGGTAAATGAGTAACATAAGTACTGTTAAAACTATCAAACCACTCAAAATTGTACAAGACTATATCCAGTCTTTTCTAGATGGTGTTTGGTGCATCCCTGTTATTACACCATGTGTTAATATTCCCTGAAAAACCTGCATCTTGCATCCCACATTCCTCAATAAAGTTAATGAAATCAAAGCTTTTGTCCAATCTATATGGAGTGCCTCCGGTCTTTTCTTCCACCTCAGCTATGACATTAAAATCTCCCAGAATGCTCCATGATCCTTGAATTGTGTTAGAAAAAGAGCTTAGATCTTCCCAAAGGAGCTTCCTCAAAGTTGTCCTGCACTTAGCATAAACAAATGATGCATGGTAAGCAATTCCTGAAGCTACATGATTAATGTGGCAAGTAATATGTTGTTCAGAATCTTTGATGATGTTGACTTTGAAATCATTGGTCCAAAAGAGCCAAATTTTTATTGTTAATATTCGCATAAGAATCTTGCATATCCAAGTGTCTCATATAGAAACCGACTTGGTCTGCTTGGACAAAAGGTTCTTGCAAGCTGATAAAAGAGATTTTGTATTGGTTCTTTAAAGTTTTGAGTCTTTCAAAAGCACTTAGAGTTCTAACACTCCTAATATTCCATGAGATTGTACTAATCATTTGGAATTAGTGAGATTAGAACTTTGCATATCCATGTGATCTTCCTTATGATTGACCATCTTAGACTTGTCCTCATTGACTGAAGGTAGTCCGCTAGTGGTTATCATCTTAGATAAGGAAGAAGAATTTTGATCTTGTACAGTTACAAAATGAGGATTGTTTTCTTCCCTGGTTTGTTTTTCCATAACCTTGTTGGTATCTTTGTCTAGGTGAGGCTCCACAACATCATGAAAATGATCTTCATCCATCTCTTCCTCTGAAGCTGATTCATAATGTTTGTATTCATCATCCTCAGCTTTATCAGTTAAGATGTCCGTGTTATCAGTTTGCTGTATTTGATTTTTACTTTCTCTAGGATCATCGGGTGGTTGGTTAATCCCTTCGTTCATTTGTCTCTGATTACCATTTTTTCCTCTGTCGACTGGATTTAAATCTTTTCCCATATCCATGTTGTCATGGGATTCAAAGTTTTGGGATATCGCTATTGTTCCCTCCAGTTCTTTCGCAGAGTTTGGATGAATATTCTTGGTCATAGTGTTATCTCCCTTGTTGGTATCATTGTTGATGGATTCTCCACTAATTCATCTTCTGCTTTTTGTTCTCCTATCGTAAGGAGGGTTCATGTTTTCCATATTCTTCTTCTGGACTCCTTTACCTCTACTAGAGGTTTGAGTATAAGTTTCCTAGGCAGTCTTCTGATTAGTTGTTACCTTTCGTTTACATTTTTTGTTACTTGGTGTTTCTTCTTTGTCTTTATTTTAAGCAGTGAAGGTCATTCCAAACACTCCCGTTTTTCCAATCTCGCTCTAACCACTGATCTCCTTGACATTTTTGATGATTTGAACCTTCTCAGAAACTGGTTCTCCTTCAGTACTCTTTTTGAATGGGTTTGTGTCCTCTTTGTATTTATTCTTTCCTTCTCCTTTTTCTTTTGTGGCTGTTTTCCATCCTTCCTCATCTTTGTTCGCTTCGTTGACCTCTTTTGGCCTGTTTGAGGGGTTCCTTCGTTTAGGTTGCTTTTAGTGGCTTCCACTTCTATATTCATGTGAGAACGAGTTGAATCTTTTGGTGGCTCCATTCTTGCTCTCTGAGTCTTCTCGTTGTTTTTGTTGTCATCTTGATCAACCATCTTTCATAGTTCGGGATGTAGCATTCTGCAGCTGTCATCTTTATGCCCCTGCACTTTACAGTGAAAACAATACTCGGGTACACTTTCATACTCTACCCTTTGAGTGATAGACTCAGATTTCCCATCTTCACCTTTTACCTTTATTTGGATTTTCGTCACCATGATTTTTGTTAAATCCATTTCCACTTTGATTTTCGTTGTGGTCGGCCTTGTTTTGGAAAGAGTGGCTTTATCAGTGATAATGGGTACACCAATTGGGGCCACTATTCTACACAGAGCTTCCCACTCGAAAAAATGCCATCTAAGATCTGGAAGATTAACCCAAACAGGGGCCAAGGTTGTTTCTGCTTCAGGTTTGAAATTTGGCGTCCATTTCAACAACTTCATTTGGGTATTACAAATATTCAGAAAGTTCCGACCATAAACATTTCTGTGATCTTCTTCTAGGTTGAAATCTATGAATACATGATACATGTTGTAGGCTCCTATCTTAACTGATCCTTTGATAGGAATATTTTTCGAGAAATCCTCTCTGATTTTTTCAATTGAAGGTCTAATCCTTATAAACTTACCTACGATGGTAAGTTTGCAAATTTCAGCCAGCCGGTCATTTTCCTCTTTAGAAAAGGATACTACAGGCTTACCTTATAAGAATTCGTAAGGACGATGTTGAAGCTTCACCGTCTTCTTTGAGT